GAAAATTTTAAACCCCCCAGACATTCGACGGAGGGCGATGAGGGTGGTTGAACGACTCAAAACTACTATTTGCTTAAGAACCCCCCCAAAAAGGTAAAGAATATCATCCCTACATTGCCCTTTGAACAAGAGGATAAGGATTCACGGTTTAGGGTCTACTCTCTCGTCTCTGCACCCCAATTAAGCCAACGTTAAAACCCTCCCTGAACCCTGAACTCTGGTTAAACCCTAAACCCTTCAACCTGACACCCTGATTACCAAAACCCAAAGCCCTGAACCCTAAACAACATACTTTGCTCCTACTTTGCCACTATTTTGCTGCTACTACTTCATTGCCACTACTCCTACTACTCCTACTACTCCTGCTACTCCTGCTACTCCTACTCCTATTCCTGCTACTGCTGCTGCTACTGTTACGTTGCTACATTGCTACTTACTACTTACTACTACACTTACTACTACTACTACGACTACCACCCACCACCACTACTACTACTACTACCACCACTACCACCACCACGACTACAACAACAACAACCACTACTACTACTACTACTACTACAACAACTACTACTACTACTACTACTACTACTACTACTACTACTACTACTCCTGCTTCTGCTGCTGCTACTACTACTACTACTGCTGCTACTACTACTACTACTACTACTACTGCTACTGCTACTGCTACTGCTACTGCTGCTGCTGCTACTGCTGCTACTGCTACTTCTACTACTACATTCCTACTACCTACTACTACTACTACTACTACTACAACTACATTGCTACAACTACATTGCTACTACTACATTGCCACTTACTACATTCTACTTACTACATTGCTACTTACTACATTGCCACTTGCTACTAACTACTTACTACTAACTACTAGCTACTTACTACTACTAACTACAACTACAACTACAACTACTACTACTACTACTACTACTACTACTACTACTACCACTACCACTACGACTACTACTACTACTACTACTACTACTACTACTACGACTACTACTGCTGCTGCTGCTACTACTGCTACTACTGCTACTACTGCTACTACTGCTACTACTGCTACTACTGCTACTACTACTACTGCTACTACTACTACTACTACTACTACTACTACTACTACTACTGCTACTGCTACTGCTACTGCTACTGCTACTGCTACTGCTACTGCTACTGCTACTGCTACTGCTACTACTCCTCCTGCTTCGACGACGACTACTACTAGTAAGACTACTACGTCTGCGACGACGACAACGTCGATGGCTCGACGAAGACTTCTACATTATCACCACAATGACAGCTACTATTCCTGCTGCTGCCACTACCGCTAGTGTTAGTAGAACCACCACGGCGACGACCACCTCCTACTCCTGCTATTCTTGACTCCTACTATTTATTCAACATCAGCAAGCATAGCTGATTCTAGCACCTTGTTGACCTTTACGATTAACCACCAAAAATAGTGCCATTCTTTTTGTTATTATTGGTTATTGCTGCAACTGAAGCTTTAAGAGACTGGCTTGTCTGCCGTGCCCGCAGATCCGCTCTCCGGTAGTGGTGACCAATATTTTATAGCCGGCTGGGTTGCAACGAAAGATCCAGTCTAGACAACTAACAGCCTGGTGAATTCACTGAATGCATTTCGCCAACAGCTCTTGTGCTAGCGCTCTGGACATTGAGTTGGTACCTGAAAAAAAGGCCCGCACTCCGAGGCGCAAGGCCATGTTTGGCCTACTGCGAAGATTTCCGGGAACTGGAATTATCTCTCAGGCCTGCAAACATTTTACTCGCCAGTTTGGGCGAGTGGCCAGTTTTGTGCATGCTCGAAACAGGCAAATTCCATGCAACCAAAAGAAACTAAATTCGCAACTGCAAGAGAACAAGACTTTACACATGTTCCATCTGCAAGTGCGTCAAGCCCAACGGCGCCACCTCTGCAGCAACCTTCTGGTAGGAGTAGCCAGAGATAGGCTGGCCTTCCGCATTCAAGCGGTCCATGAGGAATTCATTGGAATCGCGGCCCTTCGCCAAAGCTTCCTCTCGATCATACAGGCGCAAGCCTCGCGCGCCGTATGTCTGGTATGGGTGCGCCCTTAAAATGTTCTGGCTGGCGTAGGTTCCATACATCACGTACTCAGAGACTCTCTCAAAGCTGTCGGCCATTTGGAGGATCTTCTGAGGCCAAGGTTCTCGAGATTCCGCACTTAGCGACTCGTTTGACTCGATGAGTTTCAGCATCTGCTCCAGAACTTTCTTGTTGAAGACCATGTGGTGCGCGATCCAAGTTCCCCCTTCGCTTGGCTTTGTAGGCTCAAGCTTGAGAATATGTCTGGTGCTCGAGTCGTAGGCTTCTTCGTGCCGCTCAGAAAGGTATTTCTCCTCACAAGGGGCTCCACAAGAAGGAAATCAGGTCGCAGCATGGCCAGCTTTAAGAGTGAAGTTGGGGGGGAGCCACCGAGAACATCAGGAGTTTGATGAGCAGCCCATCTGCTGTGACCTTTCTCATCTAGATACCGCCCCTTGTCACATGCACCTGTGACATGGGGGATAGGACAAAACTTCCCGCCGTCCAGCATGGCGGGACTGACAAAACAACTTGCAACTTAAGAATCGCGATTCGTATTTCACGGACACGGCTTTGAATGGTCACAACATCGGTGATAAACATTGCCACAACCACAATACCACCTGCGAACGCCTCTACTGACGTAGAGAAGGTAACAAGGGCAGCAGTGATAGTGGTCGTCATCACCGCCACAAAATTGGGTCAGCGGTTACAGTAGCAGCGGTAAGCATCCGGCTGTTTATGGTGTGGAATGCTTACGGCAAAAGCTGGCTTCACAGGTTACCCTTGACTCTTCTTTCTCGGAGTACCAACCGTTTCCGATATCACAAACGACCGAACCGTTTTGACTCTAGACATCGACCCCCCAAACAAGTCATCGGATGTTATCTGCTCTAAGGAGGCAGCACAAGAAACCTGTTGGCTTGTCCGTGTCCTGTAGCGGCGCAACGAAGCATTGCGTGTTGCCGGCGTCGGCTAGGGGCCAAGCTTCAAGCACAATCAAGTCCGCATCCCAGACGCAGAAGTTCTCGGAGATGTTCTCAATGCACTGCCCGGCTCCCAGCTTCAACAGCTGCTGCCACCACCAGCCGAAGTCCCGTGGGCTGATGCTTTTGATGCCTTTCCAACACGCTTCTTTGAGCTCTTCCCTACGGAAACCCAGCCTCTTCTCGAAGTACGACTCCTCGTCGACGAAGGCGACGCGGCCACTTGGCAGGCCCCACTCCTTGGGGCAAATGCAACCTTCAGCAATTAATTGTCTTTAGTTCACTTCGAAACCCTGCTAGTAAGCCGTTACATAACGTGGGGTCCTCACCATATGCCAAGACTCCACCATTGCCTGCGACATCGACTCCCGCACTTCCTGCTGGCAAATTACGTAGATTCGCCTGGGTGCATAATGCGTGAAGATGCTCTCGAGGACGGTGCGAGTGAAGGGTCCGACGGCCTTCAAAGGAATCACAAAGTCCATAGAAGGCACCCGCACGTCCCGCACATTGTTTGTGGAATCTGCCAGTACAAGCTGCAGATCAAACATGAACAGGGCGATGCAAATGGACCCAAGCATTAAAAGCGTCAGAGTGCTGCCAGCCACCAAGACCCCAGCTGAGCTGGCAAGTGATCCCACGATCAGGGGGATTACGACATCCGCTGAGGAGTTGAAGAAGCGGCAGGCGTTCATGAAGCTCTTGCTGCGCTCTTTGGGTGCATACGTAATGGAAAGAGCAATGGCGGCACCGGCACTCAGGCCGCAGGCAAGGCCCAACAGGCTAGCGCCCTGGACATACAAATCTGTCCGAGGTATGCACAAGACCTGAATTCCCACAGCGGACAGCAGCAGGGAAACCAAGAGGAGCGGCAAAATGCCCAGGTACTCCATCAACAGGCCGCCCAGAGGCGCAGCGATCAGGGACTCCATCTGCGACATGAAAGCAACGTTGCCGACGAAACTCGTGTGGATGTTGAGTTCCGCGCCAACCAAAGGAATAAGGAACTTCTGGGCCTCCCTCGAAATTGCCATGGTGAAGATAAGGAAGCAAACCTTCGCCAATTGCCAAGAAAGCCATGACAGCCTTGACGTTTTTTGTGACAAGGCGGGTGTTGCCAGCATCGCTGGCGCCGACGGTTCCTTCTCTTCGTGGTCAGCTGAAACCATTGAAGCTGACGCCTTGGCCGACTCAATGTCCCCACAGCTCTGAGGCCTGGTCTTTGCTAAGCTGGCGATCAAGACGAGGCTCACGTACAGCAAGAGTCCACCACCGCACAAGAAGCCAAGATTCGTGTACACCGTGCAGTCGATGAAGGAGGTCAAGAAGGCGGCCACGGCAATGCCAACAATGTTGGAGGCACTGACCCAGCCTGACACGAAGGCCTGCCCATCTGCTACCATCTCCGCTTGGTAGAAGATCCTCGCGACCACATGCCTCAGCAGCTCTGATGAACAGAACATGGATTGTTTGCAAATAAGCGCAGAAGGCATGCTGCTTGAGCTGTATGGTGCCGCCATGTTGCAGGGATTGGGCAAAGCCCACGAACCCCGCGGCCCCTACTAGGCCGTAGAGGCGCTGTTCGGGTGCAGACAGGAGACCACCAAGCAGCACGCCTGCTAAGCCCATTGCAGCAGCCACGATGCACCTCAACTGTACGTGCAGCCAGGGAAGGCTCTAGCACACATCTGGGTAAGGTCCACCAACAAGTTTGGCTACCACTGGCTAAGCCATTAATTGACTTTGCAAACCTACACCACTCCTACACCGCCACTTCCCAGCACCACTTTGTGCCATAGATTCCAGGGCAGCCACAGGGCCATCGCGGCCTTGTGGTGCTACAAAGCTACCATACTTGTTACATTGTAACAGTTGCAAGCTTCACATTGAATAACAGCAGTCACGGCGCATTAGCCAGGGTTGAAGCATGCTGCCAAGCTTAAAGGCAACGAGGTTCGCTAGGACCGAGCCCAAGCCGAAGCTGCCAGCGACGAGGCCCGCATCGCCCGCGTCGCCCACTCCAGACATGACGTATTGGGGCCCGGCCACGATCACCAAACCTGCAGGGACACGCCAAGTTCAACAGGACATGAGGATTCGCTTAGGCGAAATGCGTATGACTGTGCTCTCATGTTTCTCGAAGCACGCCTCCACAGACATGCATCACTGAGTTCGGCAACAATAGCATCATCCACACGCGCAAGGACAATCTGGAAGAGCCTTGCTTGCCAGGTTGCACAGCCTTTGCCCTTTTGCACAAAGTAAAGCCCAACATCATGGAGAGCAGAACGGTGGCCGTAATGACGGCCTCACCTATGTGCCACATCATCCTCCAAAAGCCTTCTTGGACAGGAAGAGTGTCTGGCAAAACTCCGTCTTGCTCCATGACAGGAAGGGAATGGGCAGGTGTGCCGAGGTGCTGCTGAGGTGTGCAAAACTGCGCAGCGATGAAATGAAGCAACGTTTGCTATGAAAAAGACGTTGCATGCGCACTTCAATCCAAGGCAGGAAGGCAGGATCTCCAAATTCAAACCATCGGTTCATGCATGCGTGTGCAGAAGCACTGTCCCACTACTCTTTTAAGGCACGAGCCAGCCGAGCTGGGTCCAACAAGGACGAGGGCTATACACACTAGCCTCGCAAGAAAAGACCTTTATGCTGTGAGAAGAAGGGCTCAGCACACTTGGTCTCACCAGTGATGCTCTCAGTTGATCCACCACCATCGCTGGTCCACGCCAATCGATTCCCAGAATGTACAGACTTCGTGCTTGTGATCCGGCTGTGCACGAGTCTCGGCGTCGCCGACAATACTGCCGATGACGTTCTCAGAAGGTGAAGCCTGGACGGGAACGTAGCCGCGATCTGAGGTGAGGTTTCCCCGGGTAAGGAGCTGAAACCAATCGTCAAGGATGCGCTCACCGAAAGCCACGTCACCCTCTGACGGAGTGTACCCGAAGGTGTCCCAGTTGCCAACAGCCGCCATGAAGTCCCAGTTGTGAAATGGCAGTTCCCACATGAAAGCCACAGTACTGCTCGGCTTGCTGGTTACTGTGGTCCAGTAGACTGGCTGGCGGAATCCCGAGCGGGCTGCCATCGCAAAACGCCTCAGGGCACAGGCGAGCCCGGTGTCCGAATCCAGAGCAAAGAGCCCATACTGAGGTGGATCGTAGTGATCGTAGAACCTCCGGATCCTTTCAGCCACCTCTCTCCCGTAGACTCTGTCGAACTTCTCGTGGAGAAACTCGGCCAAATCGGCATGCGACTGAACGTCCCAAAGCACCGTTTTGCTTGGGCTGTCCAGCTCGGCCTGGGTGCTTTGCAGAAGCAGGGGAACGTCGTTCAGGCCTGTTCTCAGTGCTTCAAGAACGGGCATGGTGATGGTGGCTCCGTCAACGAAGAGCAGTGCGTTCATTCGGCTCTTGAGGCCCTCCCTGTTCGTGGGGTAGTCGAAGACCCACTCCCCGTTGGGGGCGTCGGAGGATGGTTCCGAATAGGATGTCGGCAAAGCGGCATCGAGCGCGGCGGCGTCCGCCGTGTAGAGGCACTCAAGCAACTCCGACGAACTCACAGAGGCACAAGGGGTTCTCGGAATGATCAACGCAAGGTCCTGTGCCTCTTTCGTGGCCCGGTCCATGGTGATGTTGGGCGATGCTGAGAGCGAGATCGCGCCATGGAACAGACCGCGCGAGCTGTGGGATGCAAGATGGCCCAAGATGCTCGTGCCGCCAGAGCTTTGTCCAATCAAAGTCACGCGCTTGGGATCACCGCCGAAAGCATGGATGTTCTCCTGAACCCATCGCAACGCCAGCTGCTGATCCGCAATTCCCGCGTTGCCGCTGCCTTTTCGGGGGTCCACGGCCGAGAGTTCCTTGAGTGCCAGGTAGCCAAGAACACCAAGGCGGTAGTTCATGGCCACAACGATGCAGGGATGACGGTGCACGATGTTCTCGAGTGGTCCATAGAAATCCCATCCCACATGACCCTCCACACTCGAACCACCATAGATCCACACGAAGACAGGCAAGTCCCTGGCCCCGTCAGGGGCGAAAACGTTGAGGTTCAAGCAATCCTCGCTCTCGACCTCATCGCCAGCAAGGCCAAGAAACTTCTCAAAAGCGTGGAACCTGCTTGGGCCTCCCTTGCCCTGGAAACAAATCGGGCCATTTTTGGAGACGTCGAGCGCGGTGTCCGAACTCCAACAGGTCGCCGGCTCTGCTGGCTTCCACCGGCGATTTCCCACAGGGGCCTCTCCGTAGGGGATGCCACGGAAGGCTGCCAAGTCCTTCTCCCAGCTGCCTTTCAGGGTTCCGCAGGCCACGTGTGCTTCAGGTGGGGCCCGGGTTGGCTTCGTGGGCTCCTCATCGAACCCCCAGCGCATGCCCCGGATGCCATGGACAAGAGGGAAGCTCCCTCCCCACCCCATCAGGAAGGTGAGGAGACTGGCAGAAGCCCAGCGGAAGGATGTACCAGTCATGTCTGAGGAGCGCTCGGAGTAAGGGGGGGCTCGCTCGGCGAGCCCGGCTAAGTCTTTCACAAACTGCTACTGATACTGTGGAATCTAGTGCCACGGCTGAGCCAGATCAGCACAGACACACTTCAAACAGTGAAACGAGGTCCAGGGTAGCAACAATGAGAGCAATGGCAAGTGCAGCAGTGAAAACTATAGCCATGACTACGTGTATGTATGTATGTATGTATATATATATATATATATGTTCATTCATGGTTTTTTTGCATATACAAACGCGCACATGAAGACATATCTAAATAGTAACATATGTTTTTGTATGTATATATATATGTATATATTATGTTATCTTATATTATATTATATTATATTATATTATATTATATCAATTTATATATATATATTTATTTATTTATTTATATTATATTATATTATATTATATTATATTATATTATATTATATTATATTATATTATATTATATTATATTATATTATATATATACACGTAAATATATATATATATATATGTATATATATATACAAACAAGTATACACCTATAGAACAACAGTATACATCGAGACACATATGTAACTAGAGTAACAGCAAACGTTGATCATGCTGGAGGTCCCGGCTTCCATGCTGTTGCAACGGCGAATCAGTCTGCTCAAGTCTTCCTCCTTTCGCTTCTTCCTTTCATCAAGCTACATAGATTCATTTTAGTAAGCTACATAGATTCATTTTATGATTTCTGATTACTATTTTTGCCGCAGTTTGTCGAGTCTTGCTTCTGGCGACAGTCCCGAGGGTCGAGGAATTGAAGCCCTCCGTCTTCCATTTAAGCTGTGCAGGTGCCCCGTACATGGGCGGACAGGATGGAGCCCCATGCGTCGCTGAACATCGGCAGCGCAGCAATGGGCCAATCGCGGCAGTCTGTACAATTTGTCCTCAAAAGTGCATTGAAAACGGCTGCACGACCTAAGCGTACAATGTGGTCACTACGCGCCCAGGATAGTCCGGCGCCTTCATCCCATACATCGCCTCGAAGAAGCCCTCATAGTCGTGAATGACAAGTCCACGGAACAAGGAGGAATCGGCTCCGGACCGGTAGTGCTCATCCATGTCCACCACCATCTGCAAGAAGCGCGTCTTGTCAGTGCTGGCCATCTCCCAGAAGGAGTCCGTCTCTGGAGCCCGGGGGCTTGTCTCGATCGCCACGCACATGCCCTTGCCGGCAGCAGCAGCCAGCACCAGCGCCTGATCCCCCCAGGCTTGCGAGAGTTCTGCCGAGGAGCGGTATGCCATGATCATCCCAACATCGAGACTTGTCAGGGCCGCCTGAAGCATGGCTTGACCCTGGTATGTTCGACTTAGCCACCCAGGCTTTAGAGAAGCGGTCAGTGTAATCTCTGAACCCAGTTCTTCCCTCCTGGCTCGCATCACTTCATTCATCTGCAAGTACTCGCTGCTGATGCTTTGTGGCTCCTGGTCTCCATCGATGCCTTCAAGTCTGCTGTCTGGAAATGCTTGGTTGAAATGATGCACAGCTGAAACCACATCTGCTGCTCGTTGCCAATTGGACAGGTCGTTTGGCGCATCATTCAGGTAAAAGCAAGCATATGGCATGACTCCAGCCGCTCGCAGACCGGCAAAAAGTCGGACGAAGTTTTCCTGATGAGGCAGCATGCTACCTTGGAAGATCTGCCAATCCCACTCGAGAGATCCGATGAAAACAATGGCGCGTTTGAAGCCGTGGACCCTGCACACAGAGACGAGCAGGTCAATGTGCTCCGACGTCCATTCCCACCAGGCGCGGCTTAGATCCCCAGTGTTCCACACGTACAAAGACTTGTCGGTTCTGACATACCTCTCCTCATCCGGCGCTCGACGAGATGTTGTGGGCAATGTGACGATGGCGGAAGTTGTGGATGTCTCTGATGTAGTGGCCGCGCACCGACATGGGTCATTGGTCCATTGGCACACTCCGTTGCTGGCCCTGCACCACGAATCTGGACGAATTGATTGGCAGAGCTCATTCCCGCACAGTTGCGATGCCTGGCTTGTCGTGGGTTGCGGGTTCACGGATGTTATGGAGCCGGCAGTCGTCACCGTCGATGTAGTCGAAGCTGTTGGTGGAGAGGAGGTAACTTGACAACTGCAGGGCACATCAGCCCACTGGCACACACCATTGCTTGCACGACACCACGAGCCTGGGTAAATGGAGTTGCAGAGCGCATCGCCGCAGAGAGGGAATTCCTTTGGGGCTCCATGCTCAGCAGCTTCCGCAAGGCTGACGGAAGCTTCTGCGTGCCGCGACGTTAAGGCCAAGAATGCCCCCAAGCATGTCATGAGCAGCTCCATGCTAGGTGTGAAGCTACAGGCCCCCCTTGCCAATGACAATCTTGATGAAGCGTCTGAGGATGACGTGGGAGTGCCCATGACAAGCAGCCCATGATTGATGTCACGACCATCCTGTCCACTAGGGTGAGAGTGCGCCAAGCACCCTCTCTTTGATTTCCCCCCCGTCCCCCCTCCAAAAACCAACCTTCCACAACAAAGCACCCCCCCCACCCCCCCCCCCCAGTTGGTTTCTGCGACCCGGTTAATTTGAATATAATTTCGGTTAATTTGAATATAATTTCTGTCTATTTCCACAATACTTAATATTCTGATTCCTTCATGTTAAACCAACCCGGGGGGGGGGGGTTGGGGTTTGTTGCGGAGGGGGGAGGCGGAGGGGAGGTAGTTGCAGTCAAGAAAACAGCCGACCTTCCCCGGCACTCGCAACTTCTCTTTTGGATCCAGTGGGTAGTATTTGTCGGGAGTGGAAAAGCGGTCCCAGCCCTGGTAGCCGGATGCCTCGCGAAGAATCTTTGTCTTCGAGGCAACGGCGGCTTGATCCAATCGCTTGTTGAGATCTTTGCACGCTGTGCTGGTCTTTGCAGCGTGGCACTCGAAAGCCAAGATATCAATGATGCCCAACTTCCCATGGTCTAGCAACCCAGAAAGGATGCCATGCTCAGCACCCTCTACATCCATCTTCACCACCACAAAGTCCGACTCACGGAAGTTGTCCATCATCCACTGCACCACGTTGACAATTGGAACGTGATACTCCGTCGAGCTGCCCTGAGCCTTGCCCCCGCTGGAAAAGCCCCCGCGGATGAGCACCTAGGTGTCGATTTCAACAGTCCCCAAGGACTATTTATAGTTAGGGCTCCATTATTACACAATAAGGGAGATTAAAAATTATCCCCAATCGATGATTTATAGTTAGGGCTCCAGTATTACACAATACGGGAGATTAAATTTTACCCAAAATCGATACCTAGGCACCGTTTTGGCGGCATCTTCGGACATTAGCAGCTCCCCGTCCGCTGCTCCCACGGCCGCTGGGATAAACCTTCGGTCAAGCATGGCGATATGAAGTGCCTGCAAAATGTAGCCATTATTATTATTATTCTTATTATTATTCATGTTATTGTTACTATTATTCTTGTTATTATTGTTAGTATTATTATTATTGACCATGGTCCAGAATAGGGCTTCGGCAAAAAACCTTAGCTACTCCAGGCAGTCGAGGAGCGTGTAACGGCCCTTGGCTGCTGCCGGCGGAGGCTGAGCGGCTTCCTCCATCCGCGCGCGAATGAGCTGCATGGTCTGGAGTTCGGGGTCCGCCTGCAGATCAGGACTCAGGTCATGAGGAGGTCGTGATGCAACAGGTTAGACTGCTGAGTCGGGGATTGAGAGGTGACACGACCCTAGGACACGGGGCAGCTGCTTCTTAAGGCAGCTTCCAGCAGTCCGCCTTCAGCGCATGGATCCGGGGTTCGAAGAGCTTCACCATGCAGTTTCGGGTCTCGTCCGTGGTAACCTTTCTGCAGCGGAACCTCTTCGCTATCTCGTTGAGGTGGTGGTTCGACCCTGCAGGGGGTATGAGTATTGGGGGTTTGGGCCCCTTTCCGTTGAGGAAGCGGACAAACTGGTCCACGTAGGGCTGGATGAAGGGATTCCTAGGCAGGCCAATGTATCCAAAGACCATCCAGATGGTAACTATCTGTTCCAGCCAAGCGTCGCTTCAAAGGCATACACCTCCCATGTGGCATCGCGATGCTGCCCCTTAGCTAGATCTCCGTACCTCAGTGCTTTGGAAGGGGGGGGTGAAACATCGTCCAAATAACATTAGGGGCTAATGTCTTGGCGCCCACAGGGTTCAGATCAATGACGAAAGCACTGATCAACTCCAATCATTTCACATGGAATCAAACTTGCTTTCGTGCCAGGGTGATAAGCACGGGAGCAGTCTCGCATTCTTTCTAGGTCTTCGCAACAGATTAACAGTGGCAGTAGACTTGCTCCTGGCTTCTGATACCTGCCCCCTGCCCACGGTAGCTGCTGAGGAGGCACAGGCGGAGGGTGTTGGCCCAGTTTGCACCCATGTCCATGTAGACATGCCTGCTTCATAAGAAGAGCTTGTGCAACTCCAAAAAATTCGGAACCCGATTCTGTTGCCACGAGGCTTTTGGCTTCTGGGTATCGGATTCCGGGATTATCAATGCTTTGTCCTAGCTGCTGAGGGAATTTCGTGCAGCTCAGGGCTGAGTTTCCTGAGGAAAAGAAGCGGCTACTACATTCGATCGCAACGCGCAAAGCACATCGGGCTCCGAAATTGGTAAGACTTGTGGCAAACATATTCGTGGCATCTTGATTGGGAACCATGATGTGGTTGTTCCTAAGTCTTACAGACGGTAATGTGCAAGCAACATCTCTGCGGCTCACAGCAGCGGAACTGAAACTGGGCATGCAAAGCCCAAGCCTGCCTGGGGTAGGATTTCGTTGAAGGCCCATCCTCCCAGCAGGTGAATTTCTCGGCACAGCTCTGTCACGAGCTACCGCAGGCCGCTTATGCTTCAGCCTACTTTTTGCACTCGTCCCAGATCCATTGAGCAAAGCTCGCTGTACCGTACGTGTTGCTGAGCGTGACAACCGCTTCAGAGGATGTTCTGCTGGCTAAGATACGAGCAGCGGCTCCACTTCTTCCGAAGAGACTCGCATTCGTCACACACAGTAAGTGCTTCTGGAACCGTTCTTCCTGGCTGCCGCTGTCCTTCTTGGGCTCCTCCACCACTGGCGACTGGGACCCTCCCGAGGCCGCAGGCCGCGGAGCCTCTTCCTGGAGGGCAGTCGCTTCCAGCTTTGCGCTGCGGTTCTTTTGCGATTCTTGGTCTTGCATTTGTTGAAAACCCCGGACGAGGGTGCTGCTCTTCATAAGTTAAGGAACCCAAGCTAAGTTCGCATAATGAGGAAACTGTGGAGGCATACTAGATGGTCTGTAGATTACAAACGTCATGTGAGTTCCTTCACAGCAAGCAACAACATTTGGGGAAGATATGTTTCCCCAACTTTCGCTGTTGTGTCATGCTTATCGCGTGCATACACGGAAAGCGCCATGAGCTGCTATGTGCAATGTACGCGCCATTTTCGATGGCACCTCTTTGTTCCAAGAAGGACGGGACGCATCCCCAGCGCAAGCACTCCCAGTGGTGCAAAGCAGATTGGTGGGCACAAGTATGGAAGAAGGGTTGCTGACAGGATTCCTTGGAGCCAAGAATTTGTTAGCACCAACGCAGCCCTTGCTAAGATTCCTGCGCCAGTCGGTCAAGTGCTTTCAGGCAGTAGTCTTGGCATTCTGGCTGCATAGCATTCGGAGGCATGCGAAAGGTATGGATTGAAAGTTGAAGATAGCCTTGCTGTCGCTGCTGTCACGACTGTTAAGCCTCGCGTGCTGCGTCAAGGTCGCGACAACTGCAAGTCCAAGTGTTGAAAGCGTTGCTTTGCGTCTGTTTCTCTGCGTGTACCACGCACACCTCCTGTGCTACTGCCCTGCAGGGTGCTTCAAGGGATTCTGTGACTGCCCACCACTTCGGAAGATGTTCTGCTGCCTAGGATACGATCAGTGGATCCACTACCAGGCACTACCAAAAGGCTCGCAGTCGTCACTCTCAGCAAGCTGGCTGTCGCTGTCCTTCTTGGGTTCCTCCATCACTGGGGACTGGGACCCTCCCGAGGCCGTAGGCCGCAGAGCCTCTTCCTGGAGGGCAGTCGCTTGCTGCTTTGCGCTGCGGTTCTTTTGCGATTCTTGGTCTTGTGAAGCTGGGCTGCTAGTAGTTCACTCAAGTTAGTCAGGACACCGCGGTGTTTTGCTAGTATAGATGTCCAGAATATACTAACTCAAAGTATGTTCCTCGACAGCAAGCTATTTATGGTTTAGCGGCCCCTGGGCCCCAGGATCCCGCCGTCGATCCTGCACTGGCCGAGGTCTCGCGGCGTTGACGATGGAGTCATTCACCACAGGCCGTCCCCAGGTGGAAATCTCGCGGCCCAAACCTTGATTCAGCCAGCTACCCTCAACTTACTAATGTAGAACATCTGTTAAAATAAAGCTGGACGTTTTCACATCTCAGAACAACCCTGGACTTTTTTTGACACGGGGGAAGGAGGCGATGATCAGTGATGCTACAAGTTCCACATATCTGTCTTGAGAAGAAAATTTGCTGCTTGGCGGCTCGGCTTGTAGGTGGATGCTGCGTGCTCTTTCGGGACGGAATATTCAAGCATATTCACGTAGATTCCCCCTTTGTTGAGCCCATGTCGATTTCCCTGAGTCCTGAAGCCCCTGCTTTGCCCCGAGCCCGAATAACTGTGTGTCTGATGGGGTGCTTGATTGGCAGATCCCATCATGCAAACTAGTATCTCGCAGATTTGCCGCCCGAAGCCCTTTAAAGCAAAGACCCGAGAGCCCTGAGCCCTCCCTCGCCCCTTGAACCTGGAAACCCCGACCCGGTTACCCTCAAACGGCTCAGGATCCATCCCGGGAGCTGGCAAGGACCAGCCCAAGCAAGATGCAGGAGATCCAGAGGCGGCGAGAGCACATGGCCAGTTCCGCAGTCGAAAGGGCGGGCGCCCGAATTTAGGGAACCCTCCACATTCATGCGAATGGAGAACCTTATAAGGGATCTAAGGCAGCTTGGGACTTCTCAGAAGGGCTTTCTGCAGCTGCTTTTCTTTTCGGGGTGCGGACCTCGCACACATTCCCTGATGCTATCCCCAAGGCTTCTGGAGTTCAGGGTTTAGATGCAGGGCTTGGGTTTTTCTAGGGCATTCTAGGGCCACTCCTGTGCGGCAAATACGGGGTAGGCTTTGCAACCTTAAGTGCAGCTTTTTTGGAGGGTTCTCGACTCGGTGCTTATATAGGGCGGGAAGCAGGCGCATGAATTCCTTGTGGATCGTGTAACATCCTTCCGGCACTATAGCTTCTCTGGCACTGCTGCGTGGTGGTGGAATGCTCTACCTGCGAACACTAACTTGATACTCATGCTGCTTCGAGCACTTGAAGGAGGAAAGTTCGAGAATCTTCAACATCTCTCTACACCAAACCAACCCCCTCAAGACATGTGCGCACCGACTTCTGCTCAAACGCAGCGGCACATGCAAATCCAGCACCCTGCTGCTAGCAACTAGGGCGGGCGGGTGGAGAAAACTCTGCAAGCACTGCATTTGCTGCAGGTTTTCAGCAGCAGCCACGACAACACACTGCTACCCTAGCACAAGCCTGGTTGCGTACAAGTACACAACATGTAGCGGCATGGCTTGGGGAGAGGGCCATGTTCCTGCCTGAACCGCAAACACCAACACGAGACGACCCTCTTGTAAAGGGTAAACGATTTCTAGTTGAGGTTTGAGATATTTTGAATGTAGATTCTGCCAACACTGCGGTGCCCCGCGCCCTGTCTAATTATTGCAGACTTGGTCCCCAAGGATCTTCAGCACGGTTTCTGCTACCAGACTCACTGCCGGTCTTTACCCTCCGCATGCTCACACACCTGTCTCTTTTCACAACGACACACGCCCGTCTGACTGGGACTGGGGGCTACCGTCAAATTCATGCTAGCAGGATACCTGCTCCAGATGTTTACTGCTTCATACGTCTAAGAGTATCCAAAAATCTTCACTCTGCAGCAAGGAAACCTTCCTGGGCATACTGTTCCACCAGCAAGTCGGGCAATCGCAGAGCAGAAGGATTCGACAGCAGCTCCTTTGCCAGATTGATCAACTGCTTCAGCTTAGTCGCAAGTTTTTTGCCAGCTTCACTCAGATCAGCCTCCTCTGCAGCAGCCAGACACTTTCTCAACTGCCGCTTGTTGGCTTTAGTGGGCTCTGCATGTGCAACGATCAACATCGCTTGAAGGTGCACTGCCGATGTCCGCGCAGCATCGGTTGGTATTCCAGCTGCACTCATGTCTCGCATGATCTTTGCAGCCGTGGCTGGCCTTCCTGCCAAAAGGTGCGCCTTACTCCGAGCTCGGTAGCAAATGACGTTGGGTCTCAGTGATGATTTGGTCACCAAGAGGTCCCAGATCGTCTCGACCCGTTTCCACTGCCAGCGGCATTGATCAGACCGCCGAGTTCAACTTCGGTCCGGGACAACCCTTGTCTGTGCATGATCTCATGTAGTAGGCTCTCTACTCGACTACGATGCTTGCACCGCTCAAAGAGCGCTAGAAGAGGTCCATACTGCATGGACGTCATTGCATACTTCTGTGTCTTGCACCAGCTAAGAATCTCTTCTGCCCATGGCAGTGCCTGCTCACCGACTTCAGCACAGACTCTCCAAGCAGGACCGATCTGGCATTGAAAGTCCAGCTCGGAAGATGGCGATGGCATAAGGTTGCAGGAATGTTTGCTCAAACTCAGAGCTCGATTCTTGCGGGCAGCCAGCTCTGTCGGACAGCACTGCGAGCGCTGCAAGCAGGCTGCAGAGTTCATGAAGATCGTCCCTTGAACGCGGTCAAATTCCACATCAAGACAATGGGCTTTGTCATGCACCTGCATAAGTGTCTCCCACCAGCGCTTGTGCCCGCATGTCTGCATGGCTGCACCGATCACGCTCGCATCAACCTTATTGGCGTCAACGGCATCCGACAAGCATTTCAGCAATGCTGCGGACGTCTTGCACTCTTTCATGCGAGCTCGCTGGTGGGAAAACTTCGGGCTTCGTTGCGGGGATTTGATGCTCAAGGGATCTGTAGGAGTAGCCAAAAAAAGAAGTTGCTTACCCTTCTTGCGCTGGATACCAGTGGCCGAGCTGTAGCTTTCAGCAGGCCGCAGCATTGACAGCTCCCGCTGCGCATACGGGACGTGGTGAGGCTTGGAGTGGCTGTGCCGCGGCGAAGATGCCGTCAAGCATGCTTGATGACCGATGCTAGGGACGGGAGTACCAGCATGCCCGAACTGAACCTTCCACTTCCTTGGCCTTGTGGCCGCTGCTCTTTGCCATAGTCGTGCCTGCATCGACTGGAAGCAACCGTGCAGGCTTGCACATAGCGGACGATGCTCAGTCTTCGGAGGCACCACTTTGAGCAGCATGCAGGCCGGGCCTGTTTGTTGCGCATACAAGTCAGAACAAGCAACACAAGTTAACAAGTTGCGATACCACGCGCATCTGCTGCTACCAAAAAACTCCTAAGGATTCCCATGCATGCGCGACGTGATCGACAGCACAAACTTCGTCGCGCAAGGACTTGACATCTCGACTTGAAATCGAGGTTGGAGATGGTGGTCGGCTTACTTTGAACATCCGTTTCATGAGCGGAGTGGTCTATGTACAGAGAGGCATCCGGCGCGGGCACCCGTCAGCAATGAAACAGACCACGAAACCTCAGGACCAACAAAGAGCATGACGGTTTGGTCTCCGAACCGTGCCATGCAAGAAGCAAACGATGAATGCCGAACACCTCAGAACCTGCACGAAAGAGACATACTAGCTAAGCACGGGCCTGGGGGCATGGAATCCACAGTGCCGCTACGACACGCGGGCGATGCATTTTCGAATCTTGTGCGAAGGCCCTGATGTCGCAGATGACGTTCTTGACCTGCCAGGCCAAAGCGCAGGGGCTGCTCTGCATACACAAGACCGATCCACGACGTGCTCCATGAACCATGAGATGATGCGTTGCCACTGCGCTTCTGGCCTTCGGGTAGCTACTCCTCGGGCGACAAGATGTCGGAGGCCGAGGAACTCTTTCTGTGTCGGGCGGTGAGAGAACCTCTCTCTCGGTGTTATTGAACAGCCAAGAGACATGCTGCTATTTGCCTTCACAGCTTGCCCAGCTGTCACTGCCCCACGAACTTGCGCACGGGTGAACCAACAGCCATTCAACTCGGAGGCCACGGTAAGTTGCCCGGCAAAAACTGGCTCAGCTTCAGGAGGCTAAGGGGCCCAAGGTATGTCAGGATGAAGGTCGGAGTTCTCATGCCATGGAAGATTGCGAAGAGACGTTCTGGGGCATGTGGTCACTCCGAGGCTGCCGGATGCTGCCGCTGATGTTGCTGCTTGCCTGGAGAAAAGCTTCTGAAGCGCTGAACACCACGACAGCACGGAAGATGCGAGTCCGGGAGCCTTGTTTCTGACGAGGTGGATTCCTGAAACCAAGACCAAAGAGGCGGCACGTACCCTGCTGCCGAGTGATGCGGCCGAGTGGCATTGATGAAGACAAAGCGAAGGCGAGATTTGCAAGCCCCTTAGATTAGCTTCAAACCAGCAGGAAATGGTGCGTTCGGGTCCGACAAGGTTGCAAAGCCAACAGTTGGGACCAAACCTGTTGCGAGAACTCCGCTAGCTTCGCACACCCAGTCTCCACCAGTTGAAGACCTGGATGAAGGATGGCGCAGCAACAAACAACAAGCGCCGACTGCGGCTTCTGAGTCTCGCGCAGAAGCTTCGATAGGGCAGCTGCGTTTGCTTTTCAGAAACCTGCAGGTCTGTGAGCTGGTGAAGCCGGACTGGGCGGCCATCAGCGGCGACAAGGCAATGCGCACAGCCTCCCCAATGCGTGCGAAGGCCCAGGCCGCCGTGGCAATCTCAAGGGTCGAAAATCCTCCAGACATTCTGATCGTTCTGCCCAAAGATAAAGGCTAGTGGAACCATGAGGAAAGTGCTTGGAAATTCCGGAGATGCCTTCAAGACCGCGCTCCTGTGCTATCTCGGTGAGCCTGGGCGACATTGGCAGGACATGCTGCTTCAAGGGTAAGCCATGGACTTATTGGCGGCGTGGCAGCGTCAGAAGAGGATCCGGAGATTCTGCCAGCCTCTGTAGCAGCCAGATCTTTGGACTCGAAACCTTCCCGGAAACTCAAGACCGTGCTAGGCCTTGCGAAGCTCCAGGCGCAGATGGCCAAGTTCCTATAGCTCTCCACAGAAAGATCACTCCAAGATGGCTGGCACCCACGAAAGGGCTTCCCAATGGCACAGCATGTATCCGGCTAAAGGACGTATGGCTCTAACGTGATAAGTCGATCCATTGCTTTCGCATCCTCAGCTCGCTGCCCCCCCCCCCCCCCAAACTGCAGGTGGGACTCTGCGGCGAAAACTCATGGCACATCCTCATGGCCTGTGCCAAGGTCGCGGGCTTAAGGTGCACGTTCTGAGGCTTTGCTACCCAGCCCTTCGCCTGGAGCACAATGGCATCCAAGGCATCCCCCGCAGCTGGGAATCTGTCCTGGCAGACTTGCCTTGATCTTTGATGACTCGGCAACGTGCTGGTACGTGCATGCGAATGCGCCTCCACCTGGGATGTCGCCATTGCCCACAGCAGGGTTGCCAGATGCTGGGGCCTTCAGCTGCTCCAGCATGAAGAGCACTCTACAGGTTGTGATCAAATGACAAAGGCCGCAACTCTGCATTGTCCATGCTCAGCATGGCGTTGCAGGCTGACCACCAGAAACTGCCCCAGAGATGGTCGCATGCATGCTCAGGTATGTTGTACCAAGTGCCATAAGTATGCCGTAGTGGAATTCTATCGCATGCCCTGCATGCGCTCCTAGCCTGGAGCCTTCTTCGAGAGGGAGCCTCGGCAAGAGGGCTAGTGGAGCACAGGACTACTACACAGGACCGGCATGACTTTAACAACGTAATAAGAACAATACATCCAATACGTTAACATAATTCGCCTTGGCTTTTTGCCGAGAGGCATCTAGAACAAGCAGACCACTATCCGGTCCGTCCCCCCATCCCTGAAACCTCTGAGGAACCCCCGCTCCTCGAGGCGGCGCGCCCAAGCGTTCACAAAGTAATCTCATGATAGTGACATGATACAAAAATAATCACATTATGCTAGAGTAATACAAGAATAGATTAATGTAAGCATATAGATCCAATAATGTTATGTCTGAGTCTAATCATATACAATAATCATAATATGATGAAACCTTGTGGGCAATCTCGGGCGGAAGCTTCAGCACCGCAAACGCCCAGCATGTGTTCGAAAGGCCCTCAATGAATCGAGAGCATGTTTCGACACTGTGCTGGCCCCAGCTCAAGAAGGCATGCAAGTGCAGGAGCCTGAGAGTTCATCTCGGAGGTCCGCCCAACCTCAGCGACTGGGACAGAGCAAGGAAGCGACACAAGGAACACAGCCGTCACATCTGGCACACCACATGGCTTGACGGGGGAGGTGCTCAACGATGCTGTGGACGTGCAAGCCGAGGGTGCCACTGCAGCCAGGGCAAGCGAGACTGCTTGCGCTTCCAACCTCAGTTGCAGAATGCTGCGATCAGATGATCAGGACGTCTATGTCGCGGACAAGCTCGTCAACGCTGGCTCAATGCCGATGCAAAGCTCATGACAGCGGCGTGTCGGCGTGAAGCTTCGCCACGGCCTGCTGTGCTTCGCCTATACCCCTTGTTCCCACTGCCCTCTTTCCAGGCTACAGCTCCACCCTCAAGCCGAAGTAGAGCCCTGGTGGTGAATGCCCAGCAACTGCAATCGTTTGACAGACCGCGGTGCAGCGCACGTGCGCACCCAGCAAACGTTTGACAGACTGCGATGTCCAAAGCCGTTTGAGGCCAGCTCCTGCGCACTGGCCACAGTTTGTGCAAGCGCTTGCTGGTGATTTGCAAGATGTTGCAAACGGGCCTTCGCCATGTGGTCAGCTAGACAGTTCACCTTGCACATGGACGCGCATGCTGGCATGGCCGAGGAGAAGACGTTCGTGAACTTGAGTTTCTGAGGGCGGCACAGCGGCTGCTGCAGGGAGACTCGTTCGAAGAAACGCCCTGGCCTGAGGCCTGCGCAGAGACAAGGACGTTGAGACTTCTATTGCGTAGACACGGCTCAGGTTTTAAATGCCGATTTACATGTTACATCGCGTCCTGGGCGACAGCACTGCAAAGGTGTAGATTGCAGTGGCAACCTGTGGCCGACACAGAACAATCTCTGTAGCATCTGAGTCTCCTGCTGTGGCAGTGTAAACATGCAAGGCACATGCTGGCCGTCAAATTCATGGGCCTTCGCCTGACCAGTTCGCACACGCGTTTCCAGCCATGTCCGGAGTGGCCCAAGCATTCGGATGTTCCGAGTTCTACTAACAGTCCTTAATTGGGATTATCGTACCCCCTATTATAATCCAAACTGAGGAGTGTGAGTACAAGGGGGCAATCCCAACCCAAGCACCTTGATAGCGGCCACCAACGCAGCCAACGACCTCCATTGATACTTGCGAGGAACGTGCACTGCCAAAGCCAAGCTGCCCGTGCTAGCACGGAGCTCATGCACTGCCAGGCTTGACAATCTGCAGTCTATAGAATGGGACTAGAGACTTGCCGAATGCATCGAATGCTGCAGTCAAACGGCCTCACATTGGCGGGAGGCCATAAAGGTGTACGCCAAAATATGCCCCAACGACTCAAGATCCTTGTTCCTTAAAGTCCCTCAAGCCACCAAAAAAATTGCGCTAGTACCGGGAGTCTAAACCAGAAAACCCTAAACCCTAAGCCCTAAACCCTAAGCCCCAAACCCTAAACCCTAAACCCGAAACCCTGACCCTATTATAAACCCTAAACTCACACATGTCACTCCCGGAATCTCCCCCTGGGCCTTGCTGCCCTCAGCTCTTGGTTCAAGCGGATCACGGCTTGTGCCTGGCACAGCACATGATGTAGTATAGCGTATAATGTAAATGTAAGCTATGTCTGTGTATACAAAAATCCAGAATATGTGCTTTGTATGTATATATGTACATAGATACATATGTATAGGAATAATCATGCGATGGCCAAAATAAGGTGCCATGCACTTCCGCAAGCCTTGCGGACCATGCGCCCTGTCCCGTAGCTTCGGCCATGTGGCGGGCGAACTTCTCTCCAACAAACCACAACAACCACAGAAACCCGACCCATAGACTCGAGACAAGCAGGGGTGCTTTTCTTGATCGTGAGCTTCAGGCCAGGAGGGGGAGAGGAAAGCAGTCACTCCTCATCAGCTCATATGCTGCAGGCCACTGCTCAAGACAAGAATGAGCACGCGAGCGATGCTCTGACGTGCTAGCAGTTCCGCATGTGAGCAAATACAACATTCTGCTTGCACATGGTCCCGGGCCTCAATAAACCCAAGGCTAAACGCGCACAACCTGCCAAACTGGGACTTGCTTTGAAAATCCAGAATATTCCAGAATAGATCGCCAAGCGAGACACCTCATCGCCTGAAGCGAACAGACTTACTCGCAAACTCCAAAATTTTCATCAGAATGTGAATAAATATCGGTCCTCGACCTCCGTATGCATTTCAGAATACGGCAACGGTACATGGTAGCTAGGTCAGCTAGGTCTCAGCAGCGCAGTTTCAAGGTTTCACTTCGCAAGATTCGGGTAAGCTCTGCACTCTCGCAACTCGGACAAGCCAGCCGAGCTTCATGGTTCATAGGTCTCAGCTCGACTAAGCCACTCAATCTGAGGAGCCGTTGATTCCAGACAGCAAGATCATGCAAGATCATTCGCATCATACTGTCGCAAGGACCAGGCAATATCACAGGACACCATTGCATACAGCACGTCTCCCCAGGACTTCACGCCACTAGGTCTTCCGCACATTGTCGGAAGACGCTGGCATGTGTATTTCCCACATCTGTGGGCGGACCGATCTACTACGATGGGCAAGCCCAGCTGTCACAGGTTCTGCTACCTTCTGCACATCGTATAGTCAGCAAACACACATATAACGTGTCCTGGTGAGTAGAAGAGCCTAGTTTGCCCTGGTCATGCGTTTGAAACGCGACTGCATGCTATAGCAACATGTGACAGTTGCGCACCCATCGCAACGTGGCGCAGATTAGGCCACAACGAACTACAGGAACGAACTACTGGAGCAACCCAGTGCGGTATTCTCACGCAGGTTGCAGCATGCAAACTCAATTGACCTGTAACTGTAACATATCAAATCGTAGCATATCCTCAAACTTCGCCAAAGCCCAGCATGTTGCGAGGCCGGCAATCGAAAAAGTGGACTGGACTCAGACGTGGCCGCACGGGAGCAGTGGCTGCTCGTTCAGCTCCTCGAAATTCTTGTTGTTCGGGAAGGCTGTGTAGAATGGCGGCTTGTCCCTGATCTTGGGCAGCTCGACGTAGTCATTGCGCAGCTCAAACGGCTTCTCCAAGTAGGGCAACGACGTGTGCACACTTTGAGGCGGAGGGCGCTCAGCTAGGCGCCCAGGTGCTTTGAAGTCTTCAGGTGAGGTGCGGATCATCTTGGCGAGTTTGTTCTGCATCTTCAGGTCCCGCTCAACAGCATCGTACGGGGAGGCGGCCTGCACCGACTTGTAGAGGTTGGCGGCTTTGACGTTGGCGACCTCAATCTGCTCCCGTGACCTGAAGGGACCCTGCACCCGCTGGCATCGGCCGGTGCTTGCAGTCCTTGAAACGCATGGGGCACGGTCTGGCAGCTCTTGGGGTGGTCCGGCGATCACCAGGTCCGCCATCTGCTCTGCTTGCGACACCCCCACACGACAAGGTCCTGCCTGAAGGCCTGGGAGGTGTCGCTGCGGCCGGCGCAGAGCCCTGGGCAACCGAACCCGCAAAGACTCTCGCAAGTGCTGCTCGATGGGCTTGTCAAAAGCACGAGGTAAGTGGTCATTGTACGGTGGATTGTAGACGCCTGGGATGCTCTTCGTGCTGACCAGGTGGTGTATCTCACCCGCCACCGTGCAGAACTCCTGCCTCATCTGCTGCTCCTCCTCCATTTTGGCCATGATCAAGCGTTCCCGGTGCTCGTGGGCCAGGTACGCCTGCGTCCACTCACCGCGCTGTGCGCAGGTCTGTACATACCTCTTCCGCCCCTGGAAGTCATGCAGATGCCTACGACTCCACCAGCCGCGGAAGAAGCGCTGGATGACCATGGCCGATTGATGGAAGAAGTAGTTCTGCAACTGCCTTTGACGCTGGAAGCGGAGGGTCCGGGCCCGCCTCCGACCCGACCAGCCACGGACTGCGCGCTGGATCGTCAAGGTCGCGCCCACGACTGCACGCCAACTTCGCCGGATCTTGGAGGCACGGAAGACGCTTTGGATCTTGGTCACTGCTTGGACCTCCCTTGCCAGGTTTTCACTGGCTGCCTGTGTAAGTTGGAAGTACTTGTGGAACACCTTCTCTTTGGCTCGCTGAAGTCCTGCAAAGTGGGCCATGGCAGGAGAGGCACTTCTTAGTGCCCAGCTGCCTAGCTGAAGGGGGGCTGTCCGGAGTGCCTCGAGCCATTGCCACGTTCACAAAGACATGGTATCGCACACAGGAACTGCGTCTTGGATCAAGGGCACTGGCAAAGAGGCTACAAAGCACCTGTGGCATGCATTTTGAACTGAGCGCTCACGAGCGGCTGGGAGTGAGCTAGGCTTCGCTCTTGAGTTTGCACATCTTCCTTCTCCGGACAGCAGAGTGTAAAAGTATGATACGCAGAACGTGACACAACTCATAATTCCATTCCTTTACCATGACGTGCAGACCTCAACCTCGTGCCGCAACCCTACGGATGCTGTGCGCGAGCGCTGTGCCCCCTTTGGCACGCCCAAAGCTCGCAGACACGATCTCGAGCCACGGCACGGCGATCATTAACTTAAATCCCCACACAACTAGAATCTGACTAAAGGATTTTTGGGTGCTTCTGCACAGTCTTTGTACAAGGCAGCACCTGCTCAGAGACTCAGAGAGCAAGGTACGAGAGAAGGCAATCTCCCCATCGGATCTTCAATCCCTCCTCAGGCTCGGCTGTGACTCAGTGACCACCTTGCAACAAAGATCGAGGCAGCCAAGGGAATCATGGAAGCGACGCTCACAAGTATCGGGTATATATATATATATACACGCGATACATAAATATGTACATATGTATATATGTATGTATGTATGTACGTACTCGGAAAGCATATATATATATATATATCACATACAATTAACAACAAAAATGTATATATCTATATATAATTATACATATGTATGTACTCAGAAAGCATTAAGGCACGTGCCCTCAGGCCACCAGAATCCGAAGGCGTCCGCAGTTGGATCAAGACTCAGGCTTCTCCTTCACGACTCGACGACTCGAATAAGCTGTTCGGTCACGGCACACGCAAAGGGCATGAGCACTGATACGTGTGGAGAGAAGTGCTGTTATACAGGGAGGGTTCTTAACCTAGGTGGTTTCAATAAGGGTCTTTGCTTCAGGAGATGCTTGGGCATGGTTCGTGGATCCAAGGGGCAGCTAGCCATGGATCGTAGGGTACATTTTGATAATGCATGTGACGGGCGCAGCATGTCCAAGACTCCGTCTCTTCTCGAAACATGAATGAGGGTTTCCGAAATTAGGGGTACCTTATTGGTGTCCTTGTTATAAGGGAATCCTACTATTTGGGGTCTATATTGGGGGTCCCTTATTTCGTAAACCCCCCTCGCATTCGCTTATCACGCACACCACTATCCGAGCATCCTCGTCATCGCGAGAGTGAGAATTCGAAGTCTCCTCCTGCACAGCGGCGTCCTTGCCGGCATCCTTGCCGGCATCCTTGCCGGCATCCTTGCCGGCATCCTTGCCGGCATCCTTGCCGGCGTCCTTGCCAGACTTGCCCTTTCCTTCGGACTTGCCCTTTCCTTCAGACTTTCCCTCAGATTTGCCCTTACCTTCCTTTCCTTCGGACTTGCCCTTGCCGTCCTTACCTTCCGATTTCCCTTTGCCTTCCTTGCCCTCGGCTTTGCCCTTGCCTTCCTTGCCCTCCTTGCCTTTGCCCTTGCCATCCTTGCCCTTGCCATCTTTGCCATCCTTGCCTTCGGATTTGCCCTTGCCTTCTTTCCCCTCCTTTCCTTCTTTTCCCTCCTTGCCTTTGCCTCTGGCTGGCTTCTCCTTCCCCTTACCTGCTCAAAGGCAATCGAAGACTGGGATGATGCAGAGTGACATGGTGCAGTTCACGTTCCCCAGCCCTCGGCCTTTGGGGGGAGGGGCGGGGTGGCTCGCTGTGTTGGCACCAATGGGCAGCTGCCCATCTGGAGACAGCTGCTGCGCCTGACCGCAAAGCTGCCGGGAGCTCTACGTTGGCTGCGCTCTCTCCGGCGCCTAAACCCTAAACTCCTAAAGCCCTAAACCCTAAACGCTAAAGCCCTAAACCCCTTTTTGCAACTGGGGTTGTGCTAGCCAGATCTGAGCTCTCAATCATCACGACTGAGGCACATGCACGGAGAGCGCTGGAGTGTTTGCAACCACTGATCTGGGAATACTCGAGCCCTAAACCCTAAACCGTAAAGCCTTAAAGCCCTTAAACCCTTAACCCTTCTTTGCTGAACCCTAAACCCTAAACCCTAAACCCTAGACCCTAAACCCTAGACCCTAAACCCTAAACTTTCAACCCTGAACGCTAGACTGCTGTGCATCCCCCTCAGCCCTGTGCATCGCCAGCAGATCGGATGACCAAGCCCATCCCCCGGGGTGCCTCGGCTAGTCAGGTCTCACACGGCGATTCCAAGAGAAGGACCTTATGATGTTCATGTCTTCTTATAATCTGACATTAGCATCTTCTTTTATTAGTGTATTGTTTTATGTTATTGTATGATTGTAGCGTCCTAGTAGTATATTATTATGTTACAATATTATGAAGTCATGAATGTTCGGGCCCTCACATTCCGACCAGGCTTGCGTGCAGCAGCAGCTGCTTTCTCCTTGCTGCTGACACAGCTCCCTCCTCCCCACCTCAATCACTTGAGGCCTTGTCCTTTAACCGAAGTATTCAAAGCCGCACGTGTGGCCTGCCTAGCCCCTGCGAGCAGAACACAGCAAACTGTTGATCGACCACCGTGTTCCCCCGGGGAATCCAGAGGATTGCGACGTAGAAGCAACATTCAACTGTCCTATGTTACCGTGAGTCTGACATCTTGCGTGTATACCTGCATCGTGCCGACACATTCCGACGCTTCGGCAAAATCACTAGCTGCACATTCTAGTACGTCTTTTGCAACCCCAAGTGAGGAGTTTTGCAGCACCGAAGCTCCTCGTTGTCGCGGCGTCTTTTCTCCTTCTCAAGCTTCGCCTTCTCGCGCTCCTCACCTCAGAGCCGGTCACGAAGCTCTGGCATCGGCTGGTGCCCTTCGAACCCTTTTGCCCTTTTGTGCTTTAGGTTTAGGGTTGAGGGTCCCTATAAAGTAACCAACCCCAACAAGGGTGCCCTTGTTTAATATGGTTACTGGGCTACCCAGTTACGTTCCACAACTCCTGCACACCACGCGCACCACTTGCTCAGCTCCTGACGCTCCGCCTCACGAGCTGCGGCTGATGCCAATGCAGCTGCATAAGCACCACCTCTGGCATGCGACCCTCATACATCAACTGCAAGCGTATGAATACTAAGGCTCTCAGATTTGCAGGTCGCGTGTAAGACCGCCATGTTTGTACGGTTTGCAATCTGGCTTGTCAGCGTGAAGATGTAATGCATGAGACAGGTATTAGGCCACTCGAAGCGTGGGGTTTGGAACCCAGACACCGTCGACGATCCGATTGCTATGACTGCCTGATCGCGCAGCCGCACGGCGTCCCGCAGGAGTCGTCGGGATCTTGGCAAGGCAGATGCAGTTAGTCGCTGTGTTCGTGCTACAGGGGACTTTCGCTTGTACCCTAAACCCTATAAGCTCGAATAATAATAATAGTAATAATAATGATAATCATAGTCATAACAGTTTGGTGCCCTTCCTGAGTTCCGGTCTGGCGCCCCGGACGGTAGTGTCCCAGCTGCCCGAGTCCTAGTATACAGCAAACGTGCCGGAATGCACGCGGCAGGCGGCGCAGCCAAGCGAAACATAAGTGGCTCACCGAAGGTCTTCTTCGTAGCTCCCTCAAGTGGCACGACTGACACACGACACTTTGCTCAAGCATATCAACAGGGCCGCAGGCCGTACATGTCCTCGCCTTCACCTGGGAGCGGCGAGATTTCGGGCACGGCGACGCACGAGACTGTACGATTCACCGAGGAAGGAGCTGCTGCTCTCTGCTGGTGCACCGAGCGGTCTGTCCATCTTGGGTGGCTTCCTGATGGGTCGGTCCTCGGCACCAGGTCCGTAAGAGTGGCAAGGTGGTTGACTGCTGTTGATTCATGTTGAGACTATGCGCGAATACCGCTTACGTGGCAATGATAGGGATGCTGCTGGACCGCCGAGCCTCAGAAGAGATAGCACAGGTGGCAAGGACTTTGAAGTTCTTTGAAGTGCTGGTGTCTGAGACTTTCTGAGAACTATACGCGTTCTCCAGATCGATTGTGATTCGCTCACCTGTGCACTGCGATTTGATCTGCAGCTCTCTTGCGCTGACTCACTCACAGATCAGGCTTTAACACATTTTGCCAACACGAGAGCTTGAATCTGCGCGGTGCAGTGCCGCATTTTCTGCTTGCCGACTGCTGCATCTCTTGCGTCACAGGCAAGTCTTGGCACAGCGCTGCGGATCCATCTCGCTCGTCATCTGATCTGCGGGCTCCCATGTCTTGCTTTGGCATTTAGGCTTCGGCTTCGGCACGTCGGCCCTGCAACATCGAAGCAGCGCATGCCGCTGGCTGTGGTACTCTTCAGAGTGGCGAGACAACTGCTGGAGCTTGTTGGAACCGCTGCCACTTCGCCATCACGGTGAGGCTCGACATGGGTCCGACCTCGTGCAGTCTACAGCTTCAGCACAATCCCACCAATTTCGCACGACCATCCGCGAAGTGCAAGTTGTCATCGAAGAAGCCGGTGCTGTTGACGCAATTCACGCCATCCCCTGATGCACGAAGGCACAACTGAGCAACAGTGAGAGTGACTCACGAAGGATGCACGCTGCTGTACTCAACAGCACACCTGGCCTGTGTGATAGATGACCAGTATGAGCGACTCTGAGCAAAAGTCCTGGAACCAGTGAGCCGTCTACAAAACCACCGTCCGGGGTACACATGCTTGCGAAGAACCTCCTCTTTACACTTTACCCTCTCTCAAACCCTAAACCCAAAACCCTAAACCCTAAACCCTGAACCCTGAACCCTGAACCCTACACCCTCAACACATTTCGCTCCTTCAGCTGCTGCTGTACAAGTTGCTTCGAGATGGGGTCCAGCGGCGCTAGTGCTTCATCGATCAGGACGACCTGCAATGAAAGCGCCCAGCTCTTGTCGAGGATGTGAAATTCAGGCTGCTCATGAGATCAACCGTTTCTGCAAGCCTGAATCCCTAACTTTAGGGTTTACGGAATTTTGCGCGAGAAGGTACAGGTGATGAGATAGCTTGCGATTCCCGGCATGCGACATCGGATTGGTGCCGTATCTAAGACATATGTGTCCAAGTAAATGACAAGGCCACAGACGCTAGAACCTAAACCCCGCAGACCTTTCTAAGCCCTTACGTCCGTAGCTCCGGGACGTCTTGACTTACGCGCGACTTGCAGTATGCGGATCTTTCGCGACTAATCCTGCTCAGCTCTGACATCTGCGTACTTGTTTGGTTTGGAGGCGGGTCGTGAAGGAATGCGATCCGGGTCTGGGATCCAAGTTGCAAAATCCGCGGGATTCGGATGGGCAGTTTAGCAGTGCAATGTACTTCCAAAAAAGGCCTTTAGATAAACACCCATATAGTTTACTTTCACAACAATTGTAAAAAATCATAAGCCGCAAGCCCTGCCCTATGCAACATCGGGTCCTGAGGGCATCGGCTCTTCAAGAAGATCTGGCGCATGAGCTCTGCTTTGCTTCGCTGGCCGCCGGAAAGGTCACTGTACCAGTCCTGAAGGCATTGCTCACAGCTCGGACTTGAATGCTCTCACACCGGCAATAGCGTTTGAGGCGCTGCCCCTTAATGTTTGGGGTTAAAGGGTTTAGGGGTGCTGCTACGGGCATACTTGAGGTTGCTTTTGCCACCCAGATCGCAATAAGGCTTTGGAGTTCTGATGTTTCTGGCGCATCGTTCTTGACACCCCCGCCCCGTCTCGGCATTCGAAGAACGAAGAAAGATTTAGACGCTCGCCCCCCCCCCCCCCCATGATCCACACATTTGGCCTCGGGAAGGGGGTTTTGGGAGGGGGGGGGACTCCAGACTCCAGATTTCCAGAAAAAATCTGGAGTACCCAGCCCCGGACTCCAGACTCCAGATTTCTACAAAAAATCTGGAGTACCCCCAGACTCCAGACTCCAGATTTCCGCACCCCCAGACTCCAGACTCCAGATTTCCAGAAAAAATCTGGAGTACCTCCAGACTCCAGACTCCAGATTTCCAAAAAAAATCTGGAGTACCGGGACTCTGGACTCCAGATTCTGGAGTCTGCAATCTGGAGTCTGGGGCCGCGAGTACTCCAGATTTTTTCTGGAAATCTGGAGTCTGGAGTCGGGGGTCCCGGTACTCCAGATTTTTTCTGGAAATCTGGAGTCTGGAGTCCGGGGCCCGGGTACTCCAGATTTTTTCTGGAAATCTGGAGTCTGGAGTCCGGGGCCCAGGTACTCCAGATTTTTTCTGGAAATCTGGAGTCTGGAGTCCGGGGCCCGGGTACTCCAGATTTTTTCTGGAAATCTGGAGTCTGGAGTCCGGGGCCCGGGTACTCCAGATTTTTTCTGGAAATCTGGAGTCTGGAGTCCGGGGCCGGGTACTCCAGATTTTTTCTGGAAATCTGGAGTCTGGAGTCCGGGGCCCGGGTACTCCAGATTTTTTCTGGAAATCTGGAGTCTGGAGTCTGGGGCCCGGGTACTCCAGATTTTTTCTGGAAATCTAGTGTTTAGGGTTTAGTGTGTAGGTTTCAGGGTTTAGTGTTTTGTGTTTAGGGTTGAGTGTTAAGTTTAGGTTTTAGGGTTGAGGGTCAAGCGGCTCGGCTAAAACCCAAATAAAACCCTAAACTCTGAAATCCAAACAGTAAGCATCTGAAACCCCGACGGGCTTTTGGTTTCAGGTTTAGATTTAGTAGGGCTCGAGGTTCTGGCCTTGGGGTTTGCTGTTTAGGGTTTAGGGTTTAGTGTCTAATGTTTAGGGTTTAGTTTGAAATGTTTAAGGTTTAGTTTTTGGGTTAAGTGCTTCAATGTTTAGGGTTTCGTGCTAAGTGTTTGGGGTTTGTGCTAAGGGCTTAGTGTTAAGTTTTTAGGGTTAGTGTTTAGGGTTTAGTGTTGAGGGTTTCGGGTTTGGGTTTTAGGTTAAGGGTTTTAAGGATTTTTACAAATTTAAATGATCTGGGGAAGGCACCGGGGCTGCCCCAGACCATTGACAACTTAAAAAATCATTCTGTTTAGGCTTTAAGGTTTAGTGTGTAGGGTTTAGTGTGTAATGGTTAGGGTTTAGTTTGTAGGGTGTAGTGTTTAAGTGTTTAGGGTTTAGTGTTTAGTAAGGGTTTAGTGCTTAAGTGTTTAGGGTTTCGTGTTCAGTGTTTGGGGTTCGTGCTAAGGGCGTAGTGTTAAGCTTTTAGGGTTAGTGTTTACGCTGGTGTTTAGGGTTCAGTGCTAAGGGTTTCGGTTTTTTTTGGGTTAAGGGTTTAGTGTGTAGGGTTTAGTGTGTAATGTTTAGGGTTTAGTTTTTAGGGGTGCTTAGGTGTTTAGGGTTTCCTGTTAAGTGTTTGGGGTTTGTGCTAAGGGCTTAGTGTTAAGTTTTTACGGTTAGTGTTTAGGGTCTGGTGCTGAGTCTTTAGGGTTTAGTAGTGCTTAAGTGTTTAGGGTTTCGTGTCAAGTGTTTGGGGTTTGTGGGCCTGGTGTTAAGTTTTTAGGGGTAGTGTTTAGGGTCTAGTGCTGAGTGTTTAGGGTTTAGTGTGAAGGGTTTCAGTTTGGTTTTTTGGATTTAGGGTGTTAAGGATGTTTACTAGTGTTCAGGGTTTAGTGTGTAGGGTTTAGTGTGTAATGTTCAGGGTTTTGTTTTTAGGGTGTAGTGTTTGAGTGTTTAGGGTTTCGTGTTTAGGGTCTAGTGCTTAAGTGTTTAGGGTTTCATGTTAAGTGCTTGGGGTTTGTGCTAAGGGCTTAGTGTTAAGTTTTTGGGTTAGTGTTTAGGGTCTGGTGCTGAGTGTTTAGGGTTTAGAGCTAAGGGTTTCGGGGTTGGATTTCAGGGTTAAGGGGTTTGAGGGTTTTTGCAAGTTTACATGATCTGGGGAAGGAGGCACTGGGGCTTCCCCAGACCCACCTAAACATTAAAAATCCTTAAAATCTTATAAAAATCTTTAAGCTTCTGTTTAAGCATTCTCAGGATTATGAAGGTTTTAAGCCGTTTAAGCCTTTTAAAGACCTTAAATTGCTTACGTATTTAAGTGGCTGCACTTTGCGGATTTTAGAGATTGTTGAAGTTGCCAATGGTCTGGAGAAGCCCCGGTGCCTTCCCCAGACAATATAAAATTTTTAAAATCCGTAAAACCCTGAAATTCTTACAGTTGTAAATGGCTGTCCTTTTAAAGTTTAAAGATTTTAGGATGTTCAATTCTAAAATCCGTAACTTCCTTAATTTTAAACGGCTGCCCGTTTTAGATTTTAAAGAATTTTAGGCTTTTAAGGGATAAACGTTTCGAGGTTGTTAAGGGCTTTAAAGCCTGTTAAGATCCTTTAAATCTTGAAAATTTTGAAAGGCTTTAAATACCTTAAAGCCCTTCAAATTTGAAAAGGGCTGCCCCTTTTAAGGATCTTTAAAATTGCAAATGGTCTAGGGAAGCCCCGGTGCCTTCCACAGATCATCTAAATTTTTACAAACCCCTAAAACCTAAAACCAACCCTGAAAAGCCTTAAGCTTCTAAATGGCTACCCTTCTAAAATTTTATAGAGCCGCATAACACAAGTTTCAGAAGCAAAATGCACATAAAAACACTAGTGTTTTTATAGAGGATAATATAATAGAGCTTTTTGTATTCCAGTGCAGTTTTTACTGCATTTTTCCGGTGAAAAAACAGAAAATCAGACAAAGACGAAGACAGGAAAACCATAGGTGTGGATCATGGGGGGGGGGGCTGACCATTTAGACTTGGATGGCGCGAGTTTGCCCAGAATGCTCTGCCGCAAACAACAGCCCGCTGGGGCCCGGGTGTCAGGAGGCTTGCAGCCTGGGAAACCTTCTTCGCAATCAGAAGCAAGCAAAGCAGCGGCAAAGTCGAGTAGTTGGCTACGATAAGCTGGCATGTCTAGCGATTGGGAGCCTCTAGCGATACCTCTCGTGCCGGCCAACGCATGTCTCAATATCGAGCCCACTTTTAGGTGGGAAGGGTGCGCGAGGTCAATGTCAAGAAGGGGCTCCCTCCTCTGGCCAAGATGAGACTCTGACGCCCACCCTGATAAAACCAAATGAAACCCTACACCCTAAACCCTAAACCCTAACCCCTAAACCGTAACCCTAAACCCTAAACCCCTCAAAATTCCCAGCTCGCAGCCTGAAATTTTTTTGGAAATGGAACGCGGGAGCCCAGGGTCTGAAAATGGATGCCATGGTGCCTTCCTCTCCTGTCGCAGCTCCTCCGTGGTGAGGCCTTGCGCGTCGGACTCCTCCAGTGCACATGGCATCGACTTAGAGGCTCACGGCTCACAAACATGTTGGGAAATAGCTTCTCAGATTAAAGTCCTTTCCCCCCGCCAGCCATCCCCGTGCAAACCCGGATGGTCTGGTTTGTATACAAGTTACCAAGCTCTTACAAGTCTGCGCGCTTCGAAGGCCTGAGAGGACTTGAAGCCAAGCCTTGCCGAAACCTGCACCTGGGATGCGGATTTAGGGTTTAGGGTTTAGGGTTCAGGGTTCAGAGTTTGGGGATTATTTATCCGTTTTCGCTGCAATTCTTGTGCAGGCCAGTGTCCGCGCGAGCCTCGTGGCGGTCAAGCTCTTCAGAAGAAAGTGCGGCAAGGCTTGCTTCGTTCAGGAGCCACGCCAGCGGCTGTACGTGGAACGGATGGTATGGCCTGCGCCCACTCAGAACACAGCATGCAGCAAGCTAGACCATGCAGGTTCCCCGTTAGACCTTTGTGGAACTTCGGCAAGCTCGCCCAGAGGCATAACCTGCCAGCCGCGTGACAGTGACATGAACACATATCCATGCGCATGTGCAAAATCTCATTGCGCCGTCACTAAAAGCTGGTCAGGATATGCAGAACAAGAATCCATGCTGCCCTCCACCATCAGTCCGCTGGGTAAAGGCATTCTCTGTGCGCAGGCTGACAGCATGGCGAACCTGAGGCATCATCAAGGTTTAGGGTTTAGGGTTTAGGGTTTAGGGTTTAGGGTTTAGGGTTTAGGGTTTAGGGTTTAGGGTTTAGGGATCCTGCTCCTCCGAACTCTGGCCGGGGTCGTCATCTCTACAGCAAGTACTGCGCTGGCCAGAACAACGCGGGAGCTCTCAAGTTGCAGCTGTGCGACAGGGTACTCTTGCCTCTGTGGCACAAAACTGCTCACAGCCACCCAACAAAAAAGCACCAGAGTTCCTGAGCCTACACGGCCTAAACCCTAAACCCTAAACCCTAAACCCTTGATGAAGCCACACGCAACCTCAAGCTCCCGCCGCGGCGCCAGCACCATTTGGTCCCGTGACGGCATAAACCTTGCCCTGCTTCAACTCGAGGTCCAGCTTGACACGCGCAGTGCCGTTCCTGTACTCCCTTTAGAACCTTAATATAAAAAATAGTATTCTTAATATCCTCTTGGGTTTTATATGACCAAAAATAGAAATAATTCCCAAGGGGGATATAGATTCCGGTGGTAGGTCAAGTCCTTGAACATGAGATTGCCTGCCATGAGCAGCTAATGGTTGCCACTGGCGCACTCTTCCGGAGGTTTACATGACCGCGTGAGCTGCTGCCTTCATCCGACCGAAACGTGCAGTAGCCATCAGTAGCGGAGCCACGAGATTCTTGCAACCTTGGGGTTCCATACCGGCTTCATTATAGAACATGTGTCTACTGCACTTGGGGGTTGTTCTTAATTTAAGGTCCCTATTGGCATCAGCAACTGCAGCAAGTGCAGAGGCCGGCCTCTGCCGGAATGTGGCCAGCCGGGTGTGGAGTTCAAGCAGGCGCTCTTGGTTCGTTGACATCTGCGCCAAGCGGGCGTCCTTCAACACTCGGCACACACTTGCACGCCTCCATCTTCTAACATGAAGTGGCCTGACTACTTGGCCTGCAAGATCCTGCATAAGGGGGGGTAACAAATCCACTCAGAAAAAACTCTAAAGCACAAGGCCCTTAGAGCAAGGCCTCTCTGTATCGCGTCAGCAAGAAGTCGATGGAATCCTCGATAACAGACGCATAAACCCCCAGGTCCGCGGCTGAGATTGAGCCCAACTCCATCATCCGCGCCATGGCACACCTTAGGATCTACATGAACCCTCTGAAAGGGCTTGTGGTCCATGTATCCTCCCTAAACCCAAAACCCAAAACCCTAAACCCTGTAGGGAGTCACATCGTCTATACATCAGGTTTCGACCTACAGAATGGCTGGGTGGCCATGTACCCGTAGGTCCTCAAGGCTATGGAAGCGGGCCACGTTTAGGGTTTAGGGTTTGGGTTTTGGGCGTTTTGGGCTTTGGGTTTAGGTTGTTTTTTGCTTGTCAGGCTGACTGAGCCATTAAGCCATCAAGCCACAAAAAACAAAAAAGACTAACTGCTCCACCGCTAAACCATGATGCCATTAAGCAAGTAAGCCACTACAACATTAAACCAATCTCTTCCACCCAGAATGGGAAGGTGTGGTTCCATGATCCAAAGCCTATGGTGCCAATAATCATTCAACCATCGGGCTTCGGACTACGGAATGGCTAGATGTCCATGCAACCACTTCCTGGAAATTTCAATCTTCAAGCCATGCATCTTGAACAGCAACTAATATAGCCGTTCAAGTTCTTATTCACGTAGCCCGGGCTGGGAACGCTCGTGTTTCCGATGTCAGACGTTACTTTAGGGGTGTGTATGTCTATGTATATATATATATGTATTTATTTATATGCGCCTGTAGAATTATTGAAAGAATACACATTCGGGTGGGAATATATCTGTATCTATAGATATATATATATATGTGTGTGTGTGTGTACATAAAACGCCGTCCCAATTTGAGGTTCACGTGTTTCCCAACCCCCAAGGCGCTCGATGCCCACGCCCACAATGTTCTGGTAATAGATCCAGTTCAAGTAAAGCCGAGATGAGACCAAACACTTCCTCCACGCTGTAAGCTGGAAGATTTCTCCTGCCAGATCCTCCCAGCGACTTGCCACCAAAGAAGCGGAACCTGTGCGGCTTATGGTCTCTGCGTGCTTCACGTCATGCTCCTCGATTTTCTTCCTCCTGGACATTCGGGTGCGCAAGTGCTTGGTGAGTCGTTCAATGTTCGAAGTTAAAATTGCGAAGGCCCGTGCCCGGCCAAAGTCAAGCCCAATGCTCACGGGAAGAACCGCCATCATAAGCGCCGGCTGGCGTAGCAGGGTGTCTGACATGAGCAGGATGTTAGGAAATCCAAAAAGCTTCTTCTCGATGATCGAATAGCAGTCCGACATCAGCTCAGTCACAGATTCAGCATAAGCTTCCACAGTATGATCAGATTCAAGAGCGACCTCTAAGCGATTGTATGCGAAGTCGCCACCCGAGAAAAAGGTGTCCACACGAACATGCTGGTCGACCTTGCAAAGAAAAGCATAAAGCGACAGCGCGTTTGCAGTCTCCATGATTGTACGCTGCATCATGTACGGAGCAGCCACTGCCCACATGTACTCGCCCACGTGCTGGAGAAAACTCCATGCCTCCAGCTTCCCATCAGCAACATCCAGTAAAAGGTTTGTCCGCGCTTGCCCATGGCGCATGTACCAGATGCCCACATATCCTAAGGAGACTTGGACGTAGGCAGTCACAACAAGGAGCTCACAGACCTCCTCTTCAAACCGACGAGTGCCAACGATGCCCTCAACAGTATGGTATGCTGCCACCAGCTCATGAAAAGGTAGCAGCGACTTGAAGACAGAGGCCAAGTACGGCAGCGACTTGAAGACAGAGGCCAAGTACGGTACCAAAACAGCCCCGCCAACACCAACAAGCAAAAATGAATGCCAGCGCAAGCCAAAGCGGTCATGAGCGACATACGCAGCAAACAAAGCAGTCACTGCCTGCACGGTCTCAAGCACCATCTCGGTGTGAAGCCCTGTCAACAACACGAGCACTATAACTACAACAGAAATCAAAGGGAGCCACTCCCTCGCCAAGAGTGGTGCCACCGAGTACGATCCGATGTGCAAGACAAATAGATTTGCAAAGTCGGAGACCTGAAACGTACCTTCGGCTGCGGCCCGGCGGGCGCCTGTCAAGCTGATTAGAGCAACAGTTCCCAATGCACCAGCTGCCAGGACCTTTACTGGCCACGGCTCTGGCTTGGCCCATGGGGCGGGCAGCACCCAGCGGGCATAAGCAGCTGGGAGAGCGAAGGCCACGGCGTCCGTCTTCAGATATTCGAAAAGCTGGGCGGCAAAGTCATCCACCGCTGCTTCCAGCTCTGCCCATTGCGACCAGCGTGCTGCAACGAAGGCGATGGCCACAGCCACCAGAGACCCATATGTGAGCAGCTGTGTTGAGGACACCATGGCGCGACAAGCAGTAGACACCAGAAACGTGCTACTGAGGTGCTTGGCCCAACATGCGGAAAGCATCGTGCCCGACACACATGTTACCAAATGAAGCAGAATCTGCACATGACATCGTCGGCAGCGCAAGAATCTGCCCGGCCTGTGCCCAGCTTCTTGCGGTCATTCTCCCGCTCACGCTCGCGGCGCTCCATCTTCAATTGACGATCTTGCTCCCGCCTACAGTTGCAACCCAAAAGCATGTTCTGTCGAGGTGTCTGAGTGTGCTGACCGACACAGACTAAGGGGTGCGCTGCTCGGGCGTTTTCACTACCTCCCAAGGTGGACACTCTAGAAAGTAACTTCCGCCGCGATGCACCGACCAGCTAATTATGGTATTGTTGGATTATCATATTATTGCATTATTCCGTCATTTCACTGTTATACTCCTATGTTATTACTTTTTTGTACTGGTTTCGGGCGAACCTTCGCTTGCAGCTGGTCAAGGCGCAAGTCATCACGCCGGACTTCCTCTACGTTCAAGCGCACCTGAAGCAGTCACAATAAGGGGAAGGGGTTAGGGTTCGGGGTTCAGGGTTCAGGGTTCAGGGTTCAGGGTTCGGGTTTCAGGATTCAAGGTTCAGGGTTCAGGACAAGGGGGGAGCATGGGTGGCATGGCAGTTCGATAAACTTCCTGGGGCCCTATGTACCTACAGATTTTTATTGGGCTATACCTACTAGATAGGGGGTACTTACTCCTCATCTGTAGGTAAATAGGGGGTCCCAGGTTGGCCAGGCGCTAACAAGCGCACTGCTCGAAAAAGCCTGGTCCCCAAACCCACCAGCTTCTGAACTCCTAGCTGCTAAGCCCATAGAAGCCCGTGGTACCCGGAGAAGATCTTGGAAGCCGAAGTTGCATCTCATTGCTTTGCCATGTTTTTCGGGCAGTAAGCTTCCTGCATCTGGCGGCTCCATGCCCTTGGATCGAGCATACCGCCTGGCCGGTGCTGCCAGGCTCGCTTGCCCCCAGAAACCTTTCTCAAGTACTGCAGTGAGCAGCGAGACCTGTAGTGCTTGTACAGATCCCTCAGGAGCACCGCCACCTGAAGCTAGCAAGACGGCGAAGCAAAGGGCTTTTCCAGGATGAGGGAAGAAAACGTA